CCGCAGCCGGTCTGAAGGGGAGGCAGGCGGGTTCCCCCAGCGGTTCTGTCTGACCAGCGAGTTTCCAGCGTGCTGCCCGGATTTAGGAGCAGGCCCTGTTATCCCACGGGAGGTGTATCTCTGATGCCCCCCGGAACGCTTTTCCCAGCCATGGTGCGCGGGTCCCTCCCGCTGCCGTCCGGGTGGGGGCGGTGATGCGCACCGACAGGCTGCAGCGAATGCGTGGGCCGTAGCTGGCGCTTTGCTGCGCGTGTGATGATTTTTTTGGTTTGTTTTTTCCTGAAAGTTTCTGGCTTAGCAGCCTGGCGAGCGATGGCCGCAAGTTAGCCACAGAAGAGAGACAGCGTGAGGAGGGCAGGTTTCACCCTCCCGGGCCTTAGGCTGGCAGGAGGGCTCAGTCTGGTGTTTGGGGTGGGTGGCCCCGGGGAGCCGGGCCCGGAGGAAGCCATGTTTGCCGAAGCTGCTCCGGGGGCCTTGTTGTGTCCGCTGGACATGAGCTGCGTTGCTGATGAGGCTTTCCGGGAACAGGAGATGCATGATGCTGTCCCCCTCTCTCTGTCCAGGGCTGCTGACAGGATACAGCTCCACCCTCTGGATTGGGCTCAATGACCTGGATATGAACGGGGGCTGGCAGTGGTCCGACAACTCACCTCTGAAGTACCTCAACTGGGAAAGCGGTAAGGCCGAGGGTGACGCAGCAGGGCGAGGTCCTGGCCAGCTCGCAGCAGGAGAGACACAAAGGCAGACGTAGATGCTGTCTGTAGGCAGCCTGGCGGAGGAGCCAGGGTGGTAGAGATCCTTTGGTGGGTGGCTGTGGCAAAGCCCAGCATCCTGTCCCAGAAGCCTAAAAACAGATGGTCCAGGCTGCTGCAGGATTTAACCAGTAGGTTTACTTGCTGGTACGTAGCTGGCACACTGGCAAGAGAGACCGTGCCAGTTGACAGCAGCACTTTGCCATCGGTGGAATTACATCATCTCTCTTTGCTCTGCATGATGCATGGGTCCAAGTGGGAATAAGGACATCGGCACTGAGTCTCAGAGGTGCCGGATGCCAGGGAATAGTGTGCATGGAACAGGAGTTGTCATGGAACTGTGTGCCGCTTGACACCAGAGAAATCTGGGCCATGTAAGAGACTCCATGGATCCATGGAACTCCAGGCCACATGAAACCTGATGTGGGAGGTGACTGTTCAGACTGCAGTATTCCTGGGGTGAGATCCTGGCTCCATTGACTTCGATGGGAGTTTTGCCATGGTCTGCAGTTGGCTCAGAATTTCACCCTGGTGCTGGGAAGGGGGGAAAAACTATGCTAGAAAGTGAATATCTTAAACTTTAATTTACTGTAATCTGGAACTACAGACACTAAAGTGTCTTAATTGTAATGCTGTGGTTATTTCACAGCAGGGCTGAGTTAAGGGTTGGGTGCCTTAACTGTGAATTTCCATCTCTCATCCTGTCTGGATTCATCTGAAATGTCACTTTAACTCTGAATTTCCTCAGTTTACAGGGCTTGCTTTGTGGATAATTCCAGCATCCCTGTAATGGTCTTGATCCCTAAGGGCATGTCTACACTACAGAGTTATTTCGAAATAACAAGGTGAGCGTCCAGCAAGCCTGTTATTTCGAAATTGTTTTGAAATGGCGAGCTTGTTATTTTGAAATAATAACCCCCTCGTTCTGCGAGGAATAACGCCTATTTCAAAATTGCTATTTTGAAATAGCGGTAGGGTGGTCGCTCAGCTGCTGTTGTTTTGAAATAACGACTCCCAGTAATTACTCCTCAGTGCTTCCTTGGGCTGTAAGTCGAGGTAGCGCGTCCACATTAAGGGAGCCTGTCTCAGACTCATTTCGAGGCTTCCCTGTTGCATGGACGTGCTATTTCAAAATAGTTATTTCGGGAGTTCTTATTTCGAAATAAGTAATTTCGAAATAACCTGGTAGTGTAGACCTAGCCTAAGTTAGTAGCATAGTTACTCTCAATCTAAACTCCATCTTGATGTAACTTTTTGCCGTGGAATACGAAATAACGAAGGTCCTGTGTAATAAAAGGCCAGCTGGCTGTCCTTGTTTAATGCATTCCATGATACAAGCCCTCGGGGGCATGCAGTTAATTTTAAAGGCAACATCTTAAAGCCACTGCTTTCGTTTCTCTGTGCGTGTGTAACCATTGGCGAGTGCTAGGGCAGGATGTTATTGGGGGGAGCTAGTTTAGGGGGCTGGATTCAAAGGTAGATGTGGATGCTCAACACCTCAGAAAATTGGACCCTAGGAAGTTTTAGGATTACATATTGACCTGAATGGAACAGCACCTGCCAGGACACTAGGGGTATGTCTACACTAGCTCGTTAATTCGAGCTAGGTAGGCAAATGAGGGCAACCAGGGTTGCAAATGAAGCCTGGGATTGAAATATCCCGGGCTTCATTTGCATGTTCCCGGGCGCCACCATTTTTAAATCCCCCTTAGTCCGAACTAACTGCCTGTGGGTAGACGCGGCAGTTAAACGTTAATTCGAATTAACTCTTTAGTTCGAATTAACTGTTACTCCTCGAGGTCGTGGAATGAGGAGTAACAGTTAATTCAGACTAAGGAGTTAGTTTGAATTAACGTTTAACTGCCGCGTCTGGCTGCGGGCAGTTAGTTTGGACTAAGGGGGATTTAAAGATGGCGGCGCCTGGGAACATGCAAATGAAGCCCGGGATATTTAAATCCCAGGCTTCATTTGCAACCCCGGTTGCCCTCATTTGCCTACCTAGCTCTAATTAACGAGCTAGTGTAGACATACCCTAGCTGAAGTTTTAGAGGCCCCAGACCTTTATGCTTCCAGGCATATGCTGATTGCCAGTTTCGGGGTCAGGAAGAAATTTCCCCTGCTGTATAGTAGTGCCCCAAAAGCAGGATTGCAGGATGTCACGCCTTTTGCTGATGCATCTGGCAGTGTGCATTAGATGGGAAACTCCTGTGCTGTGATTTAACTCTGTTGTAGTCCTGGCGATGGGCTCTAATGCTTGTATTTTCCCTACCCATCCTCCTCTTCCTCCCTTCGCCTCACCCCCAACCTCCTCCATGTAGACCAGCCTGACAATCCCAGTGAAGAAAACTGTGGGGTGATCCGGACGGAGTCCTCGGGGGGCTGGCAGAACAGGGACTGCAGCATCGCACTGCCCTACGTCTGCAAGAAGAAACCCAATGCCACCTCCGACCCGTTCACGACAGGTGAGCTGGAGGGACTGCCGGCCGCGCAGCGCTCCACCCCAGCCCCTGCAGCCAGGCATCTCTCTCCTTTTCTTCTTCCCCCGCCTTCCTTTTTCTTTCTTTGGATAACAAAACAACCCCGCTCGCCCCTCCCCGGCCGCACTCTGTCAGTATTGGTGTATTTTGGTTGTCGATATTGGGTTGGTTTTCTTAGGGGTAAGGGAAGAGGGGAATGAAAATGAGGGTGCTCAGGGTCTCTGGGTTACAGCTGGGGGCCTGCCTCTGCCCCACCTTGCACTTGGGCTGGGGGCAGGCTGATCACGCACGTCCCTTCCAAGGGCAGCTTCCCCGCCTCCCTCGGGGCAGACTTGTTGTCTGTCCTCACTGCAGCTGGGGTTTTATTCCAGTGGCTAGGGCTGAGCAGTCCCCTTCTAGGGGGAGGGACAGCTCAGAGGTGTGAGCATTGGCCTGCTCAACCCAGAGTTGTGAATTCAATCCTGGAGGGGCCATTTAGGGATCTGGGGCAAATCTGTCAGGGATGGTGCTTGGTCCTGCTGCTGTGAGGGCAGGGGACTGAACTCGACCTCTCATGGTCCCTGCCCGTTCCTGGAGATGGGTGTATCTTCTGCAGAGGGAACAAGGACTCCACCCTTGCCCAGTAGCCAGGGGAAACCTTTGCCCAGGGAGTGCACAAGGGGGCACAGGCTCTCCAAACACCATGGGCAGGAGGGGCAAAGGGCCGGCCAGCAGCCAGCCAGGCCAGAGGGCCCGGGGAGCCAGAGGGATTCCCCCTCCCCCATGCAGTGGCAGGGAAGGTGGGGCAATGCTGCTTGCGGGAGAGGCAGGGCTGTCCACATGCTCACCAGCAGGAGGCGGAGCAACATAGCGGGGGGACTGGTGGCCACCTTGCTCTGCTTCCCCCACTGCTGCCACTGAGGGCAGGCTTTTGCTGCCTGTGCCAGGCCCATGGCTCCACTGTTCCCCTGGGGGCCTCAGCTGGGGCAGAGATGGGGTGCCTGGGATGGAGAGGGACTTTCCCAGCCCTTCCCCAGGTGCGGGGGGGGGAGAGGTCATGGTTGGTAGCCCCCCAGGCGCTCCCTCACCAGGCACCCCTGCCCATCCTGCAAAGCAGACAGCTCTCTGAGGTTGCCACACTGGTTTCTTTTGATTGCTGTCCACCTCTTCCGCAGCCTCTGCACTGCCAGTTGGGATGTATTAAAACATCCCATGCCAGGCTGCTGGTGGGAGGCTTGCAGGCTGGAGCTTGTACCCAGTGGTTTGGGCAAGAAGTTGGAAGTTGAGAGGTTCTCCTCCAAACTCAAGCCAATGCCTGCCTAGGAAGGAGTCCTGCAGAAAGGGATCTGGAGGCCAGAGTGGACCACAAGCTAAATATGAGTCAACAGTGTGACAGTGACAGAAAGCAGTCGTCATCCTGGGACATGTTAACCGGGGTGTTGGAAGCGAGATACGGGAAGTGAGTCTTCTGCTGTGCTCTGTGGTGATTTCTCCATGTTTCAGGCAGCACGTGGAGAAATTGGAGCAGGTGCAAAGACCAACAAAAATTGTTAAAGGCCTAGAAAACATGGCCTGTGAGGGAAGACTGAAAGAACTGGGCTTGTTTAGTTTAGGAAAGAGAAGACTGAGAGGGGACATGACAGCCGTTTTCAAGTATTTAAAAGGGTGTTATGAGGAGGTGGGAGAAAAATTGTTCTCCTTGGCCTCTGAGGACAGAACAAGAAGCAATGGGCTTAAATTGCAGGAAGGGAGGTTTAAATTAGACCTCTCTATCAGGGTGTGTCATGGCTGTTCCCCACTCTGGCATGATGAACGCAGAAGTGGGGGCTCGCAAAAGCACCCCAAAACCTGATCTCAACAGGCTTTGGTACAAAAACTCCCCCTCAAATCCTAATTCCTGGACTTTGGAGAATAAAAACCTCTGCCACCACCCAAGTAATGGTAAGAAAACCAGGGAAGAGATCACTTGGGAAATCTCAGCCCTAAAGTAAAACCAGGACACACAAATTAACCAATACCAGGTTAAATAAAAAAGAACTTTTATTATCAAAACAATACCGCAATTGCAAGCATAGTTGGAATGGCTAGGTGGTAAGAGCCACCAATTAATATACTCATGGAGGATTCTCCCATAGGCCAAAATTTAATTACAAAAGAGAGGAAAATCTATTTCTAACAGCACAGACATCAGATCCAAATTCCCAAACCAGAAAACAATAAAACCTGATGGATTTTTCTAGACTTTACCCTACTTACGTATTATGAAGAGTATTTTTCTTGGAGAGAGACATGTCTTCTGTCTCCCTCAGTATCTAGAGAGCAAACTGGCTCAGAGACAAAGGAGGGAAAACCCAAAAATCCCTACCTGCATTTCTATTGGCTGACTGCTACCTGGCTAGGTACAAGGGACATAGTTAACCCTTTAGTCCCCAGGCTGCTGACCACCCCTCATGGCCATGACAGGGTGGTTGAGCACTGGAATAAATTGCCTAGGGAGGTTGCAGAATTTCAATCTTTGGAGATTTTTAAGAACAGGTTAACACACAGCTGTCAGGGATGGTCTAGACTCTAGATGGTGCTTTTCCTGCCATGAGTGCCGGGGACTGGACTTGATGACTGTAATATCAGCCCTGTTCTTGCCAAGTTCTGTGAGCAGGGCATGCCTCTTGCTCACAGCTTCACTCTGCTTTATGTTAGCAAAGTGTTGACAGTTGCCGGGTAGGCCTCAGGCCTCTGACCCAGCCTGTGATACGTGGGCTCACACTTCAGGCCCTCATCTTACTACAAGGACCTCTCAAGTTTCCTCCCAGTTCTGTGATTCTGTGCTATAAAGTCAGGCCACGTAGCTATGTCAACTGGGAGCGTAAAAAACTCTCACTCCCCTGACAGCTGTGCCAGCAAAACCCGACAGTTGCCGGGTAGGCCTCAGGCCTCTGACCCAGCCTGTGATACGTGGGCTCACACTTCAGGCCCTCATCTTACTACAAGGACCTCTCAAGTTTCCTCCCAGTTCTGTGATTCTGTGCTATAAAGTCAGGCCACGTAGCTATGTCAACTGGGAGCGTAAAAAACTCTCACTCCCCTGACAGCTGTGCCAGCAAAACCCGCCGTGTGGTCGCAGCCATGCCGAGAGAGGAGCGCGTAGGTCAGCAT